CCTGACAGTCCTGACGGCCAGTCTGAAATTCTTTTAGCTAGAAGCATCTGCCAGAAAAACCAGTGCTGTTAGCAACAAAAATCTGCGTGGAGCTATGCAAACGCATCTTCGCACGGGCAGCCCGTGCGTTGGCCAATTATTATTTGGTTCATTCGTTGTAAAAAAAAAAAATCTATGTGTGGGAAATGATTAAAAATGAGTTGTGGTATAATCAGTCTATTGGTAGAGAGAGGGAGCAGTGTGTGTGTGTGTAATGAGCATCATAAAAAGAATTTCGGATTCAGAGGTCTGCTGGGATGTGTTACTACGCACCACCGTCATTTTCATCATCATCAAATCATCCGTTGCACGGCGTCGCATAGTCATTATGTGTGCCAAATATATTCACCCGTTTCGTTCGTTCGTTCCAAACGTTCCTGGTGGTACATCCGGTTCACGCGTCCAGCCTTCGTTTTTGCCGCCGCCGCCGCTAACACCCATTGGTTCGCGCAATCGTTCGTTCGTTCGTACACATGCACACCACGTACAGACGCGCACAGACACACGTACGTACGCGATGGAACCGTTGCATAAGCAGCCGCTCGTTTCCGCTTCTTCCACACACGCTACCCAGAAGCAGCGATCATCATCGTCATCATCGTCACAGTTGTCCTCGTAACTAGTCTTTTGCGGTACGCCGGCTTCCTTGATTCTGGATTTCCTTTGCTGGTTTTTTATTTTGTCATATTTTTTTTTCAAATTTTTTTTTAGGCGAAATAGCATTAAAAATTCGTTGGAAAATTTTATTGCGTTCTTTTTTTAGCGTTTGAAGCATCAGGCAAAGAAATATGGTGATTTGAAGGAATTCAAAATGCGCGATGATAACACCTGGTAAGTGCACCGGGTTTTACCGCTTTTTGCGTTTTTTAACTTTCATTTTATCTCACATTTTACTTGTTTAGCCTTCATTTTTTAGCAGTTTTTTTTTTTGAGTAGTTGAAGGATGAAAACTTGTTTTTTTCATCGCAGCTTATTTTCGATATAGTTAACAGCTTCTTTTTGTTTCATACATAAATTATTGTGGATTTGTGTCATATATTTACTTACTTGGGCAACTGTATATCATCGACGTCCGTTGTCACACCATCGATGCAACTGGCAACTTCTCCATTCGATTCGTTGTTG